ATTCAATGTAATCCTTCCCTGCAGAAAACTGCTGATAGCTCCGAATTGGAGAGGAACAAAAATGTGGTGGTTTTGGCTTTCTACACCCGTGAGGATCAGATATGGTTCTACAGAATCCAACTTGAATCCAGCCTTTTCTGTGTTCAATGGCTGCTGGATGTTGGGTACATTTGCAGCTAACATCGCTCTCACCCTCTTCTTTGCAGATGCTACCAAAATCACCCTGGCACCCTCTAGTGCTGACATCAATGTAGGTGAAAACATCACCCTGCAGTGCCATGCCTCCCATGACCCAACTATGGACCTAACTTTCACATGGTCCCTGGATGACCTCCCCATTGATATCGAGAAGTCTGATGGGCACTACAGGCGAGCTAGCACGGTGAGTATGAAGGGTCCTGAGCTTACACTAGATCCAAAAACCTGGAACAAGGAGGGAACAGAACATTTTTGAATCTTCTGACATCATCCATTTGGCTTTTCTTGGATGCATGTTCAATTAGCCAGCTACCCTGACATTACTGGAGCAACCCTAGGTTTGGCTTCTCTGTCTCCATTTTGCATGCTGTATTGGCTTGGTCCGTTCTGATGTTTTTCTCTCTCTCTTCCCTGCTTAGAAAGAGGCTATCGGGGACCTCACCATCTTAAATACTCTGCTGAAACAGTCTGGGAAATACACGTGCACAGCCCAGACGGTTGTGGACAGTGCTTCAGAGTCAGCCATGCTGATTGTAAGAGGTAACTTTTCAGCCTTCGCTTCCAGGTCCCGCATGCTGTAGTAGATCCTACATTGAGTCCCAAATATTTCCTGGCCCTTCAAGGGGCAGAACCTTGATTGTGACACATGACTTGGAGACCTTACAGAACAATAAGCTCGTCAACCTCTCTCTGGAGCTGTTAATTGGACAGTCTTTTTTCTCCCTGCGTTAGGACCTCCAGGTGCTCCTGGGGGCGTGGTGGTGAGGGACATCACCGAAGCAACCGTTCAGCTGAGCTGGAGCCGAGGCTTCGATAACCACAGCCCTATCGCCAAATATATCATCCAGGCCCGCACCCTGCTGTCCAACAAATGGAAGCAAGTACGCACCAGTAAGTGTCTTCCAGGACTTTGCCCGACTTACGCTAGCTCAGGGTGGGGTTTCCTCTTTGTTTCTCTTTGCTGCCACTTGCTCCGTTTGTTCTATCCTCATGTCATTGGGTTATAGATCCTGCGACTATTGAAGGCAATGAAGAGACAGCGCAGGTGGTGAACCTCGTTCCCTGGATGGATTATGAATTCCGGGTCATAGCCAGCAACATCCTTGGAACTGGGGAACCCAGTGGACCCTCCAGCAAAATCCGCACCAAAGAAGCAGGTCGGTGCCCACTCAGAGGACGTACGGAGTCTCCTGTCCCCACCCACTAAAATGGGATGGGATGGCTTCCATGCTAGCCTCCAGGCACCCTCAGCTGGTAGCCATCTCCTTGAGAACTCCTACATGGCCTCAGAATAGGCCTCCTTCTCCTTACCCATTTACATTTGAAAGATAAATGAATAACAGGACTCGTAGCTTGCTTTACAAATACTTGATATCGTTTGTGAAGTTCAGCCCCACGTACAGTGCAAAATACAGACAGTCCTAGTTTTGAGTACTAGTGATCAGAAATAGAAAGAGCTCTACTGGGTCATCTAGTCCAACTCACGCCAAAGGCAGAGTGAAGTTCCCTGTGGAGACTATAACGTACATCAAGTCAATAGCAGCCCCGGCCTTAACCAAAAGCTCAAAATGAACTTGGGGTATAAAACTGAGATGCTCGGAAGATGTCCACGTTCATATGTATAGCTAGAAAGCTAAAGCAAATGTATGTGTCTGAGCAGAGAGATATTACATGCGTTTGGGTGGAAAAATAGATGTTGTGCGTGTGCATGAGGGTGTATGCATGCACATGTACACTATATACAGTCAAATCATTCCAGACAATATTTTATCCATCCTTTACCCCTCAGGGCTCAATTTTCATAGTCTCTGAGAAGCCCTCTCTCCAACTGAATTCAACAACCAGCTGTCTGAGTTGAGAACCTCTGAGACTCAGGCCTTGAACATATTAAATATTTAAGGTTAGAAACAGATGGGACAGCACGGCTTTTAGAGCTGCTGAAAGCTGGTTGCTCCCAGGCTCTGTGTTTATTTGCAATCACTGCGTTGCTTTTAAACTAAACTGCGCTGTCCCTTTTATTTGGGAATACAACAGCACCTACTGTGGCACCATCCGGGCTCAGCGGAGGAGGAGGGGCACCCAATGAACTCATCATCAACTGGACAGTAAGTTGGCAGCAGCGACTGGTGGGATGTATGTTTTCCTTGCTGTGCTCTGAATTGCTGGGAGAGGACTGGGGTAATAGCAAGGCAAGTGTCCCCTTCCTCTTTCAGCCCTCACACAGGATGTCACAATGATTGTAGCGAGATGAGGAGAGAAAGGGGAGATGCCAAGCAGGGCGAGATGAGGAGCAACGGTGGGAGAAGGGAAGAGAAGACAGGCATAGCTCTGAAATGGGAGTAGAGGCAAGGACTGAGAGTAAATGAGGAATGGAAATGGGGTGCACAAAGTAGACAGAAGTACAACTTGCATGTGTACTGGATCCTAATGGAAACTTCACTGGGAGGTGGAGGGATGTGAGCCCCTTAACTCTGGAGACAAGCATAGTAGGATAGTGTCTGGAAAGGCCTCATAAGCAAGACCGTGAAGGACATGCTCTGACACTAAGTCCACTCTGGCCTTGAGCACTTAGTTGTCCTACCTCAGTTTTCCCCATCTTTAAAAAACAGGTATACCAATACACTCATCCTAGGGTGTTATATAAGGATTAAATTACTGAATCTAAATCATGGAGTTCCATGAAGATGCAAATCACTAAGCAGTTAACTATTAAGGAGTATGGACCATTTTCTACAAGATGCCAGGAGCTGGGACCTTACAAAAACACGAAATGTGGTGAAACTTATAGTAACAGTGAAGGGCTGGGCAGTGCTGCACTTGCAGTTATGCTGCACCATAGGGCCCCTGGGTTATACCCTTGTTCAGTCCAATGGGACTTGCATGCACACATCCACAGAGGGAATTCTGGTTTCTTCATCTTTAAACCCTACTGCCCGCACCGAGAGGTGTGAGGAGCACCCCGACCAATGCCTCCATGTGTTCTTGACCTACGTTGCAGCCCATGCTGAGGGAGTACCAGAATGGAGATGGCTTTGGTTATATCCTGTCGTTCCGTAAGCAAGGCACCCAGGCATGGATGACAGCCAGGGTGCCTCATGCAGAGTCTCTGCACTATGTTTACCGCAATGAGAGCATTGGACCCTACACCCCATTTGAAGTGAAGATTAAAGCGTACAATCGGAAAGGGGAGGGACCAGAGAGCCTGACCGCTGTCGTGTACTCAGCAGAAGAAGGTAACAACAGCCACTCGTATTCAGTAGTGCTTTGTCCAGGTCCAGCTGATACTGCTAATCTAATCTAATAGGCATCTAATTCCAGTCTAATCGGCATCACTGTTAGGAAATTATTCCTTTTATTAGAAGGGCAGTCAATGGTGGTTTGAGCATCAAACGAGAGAGCCTCATACATCACCTTGTAATACAAACACAGTTACACGTTCCCCCCCGCATGCACCTAGAAAAACCTCGTTCTCTCTCTCTGTGGGCTCGTGTAGTCCACAACCAAGCCAGGCCATCCTACTGTTTCCATTAATCCCCACGTTCATCACTTCACCTAGCACTGCCTTTAGCGGATGGTGCATCCTATCGCTATCCCGCCGCCATACAGCTGGCCTGTGTCTTGAGCTCCTCCTTTTCAGACAGAGACCGCACGGTCCGTAGGTATGAAAGAGCAAGCTTACTCCTGGCTCTTTTTTCTTTTTGCCAGAGCCCAAAGTGGCTTCTTCTAGGGTCACTGCCAAAGCTGTTTCATCTTCGGAAATGGATGTGTCCTGGGAGCCGGTTGAGCAGGGAGACACGAATGGAGTCCTTCTTGGCTATGAGGTGAGAGGACTGAAGGCCCAGACTGGGCGAGCCTGACACTCGGACATAATACACCATGAAGCAGACTGCTTGATGGGATATGACTCGTGATGGGCTAATTATATCAGCACTGCAGCCTCCACATCCAAGTGTGGGAGGGGAAGGGAGGGCCTCTCGGAGGATGTCAGCATCTTCTCTGCCTTAGTGAGAATGGTTAGTAGTATCATCCCCATTACAGAAACCATCATAACAGGCTTCCCCATTTCTCCCCTTCCACAGACAGTGCCTTTGGGCACCTACCAGAGCAGCCTCACTGCTCGTGTATGTGCTGTAATTTCAGTGCATTGGAGGATACTCGATTAATCGAGTCCGCTGGAGCGTGGTAATTACCGCGCTG